AAAGGCCGTTCTCTGGTCTTTTTGGGGGAAACCCTCTTTTGGGTGGCTTTAAAGGGACACCAAACAGGAAAACCGAAATCTATGTTGCGGGGACCCTCCTCGGAAAAGGACGCCCCCAAGTCCTGAGTGATAAGGGCAAAGAGACCAGAGCCCGGGTTCGGCCTCCATCATACCAAAAACCGGCCATGTGGCTTCCCCGGCATTTGAATCCAGGGCTGTTGGCGAAACGAGGGGTCCCTATCCTCCGAAAACAAAGATCAACATGGTGGGTGTTGCCAACAGCTACTGTATGTTTGCGCTAGATACATCCCTCTAAACTCGGAAAGTCTAAAAGTCTAAGGAACCGTTTAAGATTGCCGACGTGTGCCTGGGATTTTGCCAGTTTCAACAGTTTCTTATTCCAACTTCACTCAGTGCTTCCAATAGTATGTGAGCAAGGCGAAGCACCAGGTGCAAGCCAATGGCAAAATCCCTGGTTACTTGCCATATGATCAGTTGACACCCAAGGCAATTCTGCAAGAAAGAGATGGTTTTACAGGAACTTCTGCCTGAAAGCGACTTAAAGGCAACTACCTGCTTTGGTCAGGTTGGCTGTGTTCTTCGCCCCAAGGGGCGATTTCATGATAGTCATGATTCCTGGTTTCAAAGAAAATCAGTGTCTGGGTCCGGACACTTTGAAGGAACAATTGCACACCCGATGGAAGGGTAATGGCAGGATACTCCCAACGGGGCCGGCAAAGCCTTTCTTGGTTCCAGCAGCTACCCAGAAGGTTCGCAACCTCACTTCACCCACTTTTCTACCCGTTCAAGGGTAAAACAAGGGTCTTTCCACCAACCAACCAGTTTATGAGACGATTTTGGGTTAGATAATTTTGGGTCCATCAAAGTCATAGGTAGTCAACGGGTGTCCCAGCCTTTAAACACCAACATGAAATGCCTCAACGGGATACCTATGGCGTTGCACGCCAAGGATCAACTAAGGGAAGTACGAAGTATCACCCAAAAATGGTGAACCAAACTAAAATGGTGAACCAAACCAAATTGCTCAACCCAACAAATGGGTGAACCTCATGTTCCAATTTAACTGGTTCATCCACTGCCAGCACCCTCCGACTACCGTCTAAAATTTATTTGTCCCAAACAGTAAAAGACAAGCCCACAGGGTGACACCGTGACACGGGGTGACACGCAGGCGACATGGGGCGACACGGGTGCGACACGGGGTGACACGCAGGTGACACGGGGTGACACGGGGGCGACACGGCGACATGGGGTGACACACCGATGACATGGGGTGACACACCGATGACACGGGGTGACACGGGGTGACATGCTGTGAGGCGCTTGCTGCACTTGCTGCCAATGCTTGATTGTACCACCCCTGCTATGCATCTCCCCGTTGTAAGCAGTAGCTAGCAGTAGTTAGACTATGGGCATCTCGCAAATAAAATCATGGACAGCAGCCCTTCTAACTACGGTCGTTTTTGGGAAATTTCTATCTACTGCCCCCTGGGCAGTAGTCGGAGGGTTCGGGGTGTCAACTCTGGGCCGCGAAGCCCGCGGATGGTGAGGGTGCCCAGGGGCTGGAAGAACTCCCCCTGGACGCCGAGACGCTGACCCGGGACCCGAGTCGCTCGGCTCGGATGGACCCCGAGCCCCGAGCCCCGCGGCGCGACGGCGATGGTTTTTGGGGCCAGGTGGGTATGGGTCAAAATCAAACCACCAGGAATTGGACCGCAGGGTTTTTTAGTCCATGTTTCCATTTTGGGTACCATTTTTGAGCCACACCGTGGGTACCATTTTTGAGCAACCCGCTGTGGGTACCATGTTTGAGCCACACCCAAGTTGATCCAAGGAACGATTTGCCCTTGAGGCCTTCAAGCGGCTAAGGGATAGCCCCCGGTTTGTCATGCACCCCTGGATGTTCGCAGGGAAGTTGGAATGACCCCGAGAAAATCCATCCCCCTATCGTTACGTTAAGGGAATCCCCTTCCGGTTCATTCCCAACACCATCATTCCCTACTAAGCAGGATGAAACCTTCCGGTACCCGGTTTGTCTGAGTTTGTCATGAAACCTTGGTTCTACTACCTGGCTTGATAGGGAATAGTAAGGCGAATGTAAACGGTCCTGGTTTGTCGTGAACCCCTACTTGGATGTTCTCAGCAGAAAATAAGTTGCAATGACCAGGAAAAAAACATCCCCTATGGTTCCTCTAAGGGAATCTCCTTCCGGTTTATCCCAACAAATGAAACCTTCTGGTACCCGGTTTGTCTGGGTTTGTCATGAAACCCTGACAACCTTGCCTTCTCTTGGACCCTTGGGTTGCTTATCTTGCCGGCTTGCTCCTGAGTCAAGGTAAAACCACTTCCATGCCAGACCCAATGATTGCAGCTCTAGGTACAAACCAAAACAAACATGGATCGAAGGGTTACCTAACTGGGATCCACCACCCAGAGGCTCCTGGGGCTTTCAATGGAAGACCCGACCCCTCCATTACACACCCCGGAACTGGTTGGGGGTCTCAAAAGCAGGTTGTGAAGGCCATAAATCAATCGGGAGCCTCTGGGCAGATACACAGGGGTGTTCTTTTCCCCCCGACGACCCGACCGCCTTGTCATTGCACGGCCCGCCGATGGAGCCATAGAGCAAATCCGGATCCTGCAGCCAAGCGGGCCGGAACTCCGCGATGTCAGTCGGCTGGCAAGTGACTGGCAAGCATGTACATATATATATATATATACCCAGAGGGTCCAAGTACCTTCTGAGGATGGCTGTGGGGGGTCGAAAGGGCTCTAAGTCCGTCCTTAGAAGGTACTTGGACCCTCTGGGATATAGATATATATATATATTCATACACACACACACACATGTGGTTTGATCAATATTCCGTTCGACAAAGCCCCCAGTTTGACGATGGGTAACTTTTCCCATGTGGGAATGTGGGAAAGTGATATCTGTTTGGTGTCTTTCCCAAATGGTCATCCCATCAACACTCATATTTCTGCAAAACGGAGCTAGGCACATTGCAAGCAATGCAAATACCACAAGTTTGCTAGGTAACTAGAGCTTTCAGGCAAGCCACTATAGGCAACATTGTATTTTTACCTCTAGGTCTTACATGATCATGATCACTTGCCTCGGTTCCCTGCTATGGTAATTCGAAGCACTGGTGTGCCCGCCATGTCCTGCATTGGTGATTCTCTCAAAACACTATTATAGAGGTAAATATCCACTCGGGTAATGCAGCGTGCGGGCACATCCGATGTACCAAACTTCAGTTCGCCTATGGAATTATGTGAAGGATTTCATGGGTGGATATAGGTGTTTTGTTTAAGGGAAACCCCGATGTTCCTCGTGGTCTCCGTTTAAAACCCCCAACTGGGAAGAAGAAAAAACAACGCAACGAAATGATGTGTGTTACACGTGCTCGCGGGTGTTTCGAGACTACATGAAACGCTTGGGGCAGTTCGATGCATCTACCAACTGCCTGCTCCGACCCGTGGCTTCCCTGTTGGACACTCCAAGTGACTTGGCTAGAAAATGTTCAAGCCTTGCAGGTCAATTGGAAAGATGTGACCGAGAAACGACTCTCAGGGTCATATCACTATACCCAGTTACCACTATAGTAGGCAACCAGGGAAACCACAATGTAAAACCAGCTCGTTAACTTCACCGATCGGTTACCTAGTATAGTGGCGAAACCTCTGGAAGCACTTGGGTAAAATACATACAGGGACCAGGAATGTCTGGTTGCGTTTCAACCCCTTCGCGCGTCGAAGTTCCCGAACAACTTGCTGGTGCTCAGCAGCGAAGGAGCAATGGATTGAATGACCCCTATACACAATTTTTGATTTGGTTTCCTTTCAGGAAAACCCAAAGGGTTCATTCCCAACACCCCAGTCGTCATCCCCTTGCTATCGCACCAAGACAAATGAGAGAAACGGAATGACCCCTATAAACAACCCCCGTGGCTTTGGGTTTTTCCTTTAAAGGGAAACCCCCCAAACCCCGTTCTCGCTACTTGTTCTTTCGGGAAACCCCCCCCCAAACCCTTCATTCCCAACACCCCAGCCTGACCCCTGCAAAAAAAAATCACCCCCCGTGGCTTTGGGTCTTCCTTACAGAAAAACCCACCAGGTTCTCGTGATCATCCTCCCCAGTCCCCTCGGCCCCTCGCGCCTCGTCGAAGTTGGAGCAGAAGCACAGCTGCCGCGGGCCCGGCACTGCAAAGGGCACCAGCCTCGCGGAGCCGAAAAAACGCCCGCGGGCGCCGACCCCCGGCGCTGGGGTGGGGTGAACAAAAACGGGTGGGGACCCCAAGAACCTCTGGGTGAGTTCCTATATCTCAAAGATTGGCAGCATCACACCAACATCTTGGTGGACGTTGGAAGGGGAGCCAAAGTTTAAAAGTTTAGCAGTTGAGTGGTTGGATTTTCCAACCACAACAAGCAAAAAATGTAAAATGGCTCCCAACAAGAACCATGAAATACATCCCAACCTTCCCAACTCTCCCGTCCCAAGTTCAGGGGGGCTAAACTTGTCAGCTCGGTGGCGGCTGGCTGCGCCTTCCGCCTACCGCCTACCGCTACGTCCATTATGGAATTTCCGTTGGATTTCAAGCCACTTGCTGGAGGCTCGAGGAGCTGGCAACTGGTCTGCGTTATGGACTGAACAACTCGCCCAGTGGACCAAGTTGGCTTGCCACCCTAATTAAAAAAACAAATGAAAATAGATCGAAGGGTTGCCTTTTGCTTCACTTCCTGAGTGGATTGGCCCAACAACATCCTGGAACTTCTCATTTACCGCTCAAATGTTCCAAACCCAAAGTGCCTAAAGTCCGAAACGGAACTCAACTTTGCTGTTGACCCCTCTCCAAAACGTTTTCAGAAAAAAGCCCTTGATTTCAACCTGGATCTTCCCAACGCAACAGCATTCAAGTCAAGGAGTTTTTGTTACAGTGGCTTGCCAGCAAAACGGATTCCACGGAGTTTGTCTGCTGGGCTCCACCGGGCATGGGCCTTCTCTCGGTGGCGGTTTAAGCTCCCCTGCTAAACGCTTCTTCTGGCTTCTAGCGGTTTAATGCGGAACAAAAACTCATCAGAACTGGCAACAAGTGGTTAAAGTCCCAACATCCCCTTGGCCAAAACGCACCAAAGTGGGATTCATATATATAATCAGTATGGATTTTACCCTGGGCCAAAAAAACGCCTCGGACCTGTCCGAGTGGAAATGGCCCAAAAAAAATTCTCGCCGAGATCCGCTCAGCTCGGCCCAAAACGTTTCGCCGAGATCCACTCGGAGCTCCGAGCCCCGGGCTCGAAGAGCTGCGAGGAGTCGGGATCCGACGTCCCACTGGCCTCGCGAGATCTGATCGCCAGTGGCTCACCATGGATCCACTGGGACCAGAGGCGAACAGAGCCAACAGGCCGGAATCCAGAAGTCGAGTGTCAACGCCCCGAGAAAATGGGTGTCTTTTTGTGTGTTGGAGTGTCTTTGTGCTTTTTGGAGTGTCCAGAATGTTGAAAGCCAACAACAAGTGTAAGTGTGTGTGTATAGATATATATATATATATATAGATCAACTCCGAAAGCGAAGGGGTCGTGGTTTTCTTCATGTGAACCTGTATTCTCAAAACGCTTCCCAACCTCTGATGTTTTTTTGGGGGGACGGTTGCTGCACCCCAAATGCAACTTCCGCGTTTTCCTGGCCAATAGCTCCAGACGAACTCAGAAAACCATCCGCAGCAGCATCCCCCTGGAGTTCTGTTCAACTCTTGGTATGGTAGCAGACAACCTGCTGTTTTTGGGCAGCCCCCCACTAAAGATGAACAGAACCAACGAAAAGCCACTAAAAATCATGGCGTCAACAGTGAAGAGTCTTTACACCTCCAAGCTCACGGTCCTACGCCTTCAGCTTTTGCCACACCTTCCGGTTCTGGCTCCGGGGATTTTCGCTTGACGCCCCTCTCACCGCAAAAGGAGAAACCAGCCCTGGGCTTCTCCGCCACACAAATCCTGCTGCGAATCGTGGCAAAACCGGGAACCATATCTTACCCCTTAAAACTCCAAGCCCTGGGGAAGTTAATCTTTTACAGACATACAGCCCATGTTACCCAAAAAGTTGAAAAGTTGTGTTTTTAAGAGGTAAGATATTAAAGGCTTGCGGCTTGTCCATCCACGAAGACGACAGGTCGCCACTTGGTTGAGGCAAAACCTCGATGGATTTTGGAGCTCCAAAAACACTGGCTTTGAGACCCCATTCAGCAAACTCGGGTGGTACGGGAATTCCATACCAAGCCCCGATCGAACTCTTGGGGTAAATCAAAAAGGGCCCAAGTGACTTCTGCCGGAGAAACTCCCTTCCTGAGTGGCTTGGTCAGAACAAGACCAACCCTGTTGTTTGCCACTAAAATAGTCTTCCCAAAGTGACTAAAGTCCATGAACTCATTGTTTTTTGCTTCTTTCCTGAAATCCATGGTCTTTGACTAAAGAAGTGAGGGAACCACTGCTTTCTCCGAGCCGTTGCCCTCTTGGACCTAGGTGAGCGCCCTGGCACCCTCGAGAGCAGCCTGAGGCGGAAAGAAGTTCTGCTGAAAGAAGATGCCCCCGAGGTTCGCCGCCTGACCAGTGCAAGTGGCTGGCTCGAGTTTTGGTTTTTGAGCTGGTACCCCTTTCTATGTGGTGTTAAGGGGAAGCCTTTAAAGGACACCCACCGTTGTTGTGTTTTTCTTTTGGGGGGGGGCTCGTCTTTTTGAAGCTGAAACCCCTTTTTTAAGGGGAAACCCAAAGAAATGTTTAACCCACCTTTTTTGGGGGGTGCGGGGTCACCTCAAAAAAGAAAAACACACCCACCGAAGTGCGAATCGAAGGAGCGCTCACAAACCTGCTTTCGCCTGGACCCCATTTTCCGGTTCCTTCCATCAACTTCGCCCAGCAAGGATCGATCGTTCGAGGCTTGAAACTGATGTCTCTCTGAGTGGTCAGTGTTGGTTGGGAGATCACGAGACTGAATACCACCTTGGGGTCCCAGAAACAAAAAAGATCACCTTTGGAGATCATGGCTAAACATTGACCAAAACGCAAGGAAACCACAAGGTCAAAAGGTCGGCTTTGGGCAAGTGAGGAAAGCAAGGGAGAAACCGAAGAAATGGCGTTGTCTCATAGGATACCCTGTGCCACCACAAGTTGTTCGATTCGCCAAGTGAGTGCCTGTGGCTAGGTACCTGGGTTTTCTCGGCGCCTAAAAAGACAAGGTTCACCCTACCGAACGGGGAACTCAAAAAGTGGGTAACTAGGCGACTGTTACAACTAACTTGACGAATGGCATACCCAAGCTGAGAGGATCCCAGGCGAGCCCAAAGGATCCCAGGCGTCGTTCTCCGCTTTGTTTTGATTTCAAGTGGCAAGCCCTTGGCTACCTCCTATAGCGATCCAATCAAAGGATCCCCTCAAGGGATCCCTCAAAGGAAACCACGAGGGACTGTTTATATAGGGGTCATTCCTGCATTCCCTGAGCACCAGCAAGTAACTTCTGTACATTAGATTCCAGGCAAGCCCCTCTATAGGCAAATATGGATATCCACTACTCAAAGGGGCAATCAGGTACCTAGTAAGTGGTTAGAAAGCCTGGTTATAATCCACTTAGACTTATAACCCTGGCTTTTGTGGGTTATTTCCCCATGGATATTACCCACCCACGGCTTCTGTGTGTTATTTCCCCATACATATTACCCACCAACCCGATCGCCCCTTTAAGCTGCTAGGTCCTCCAGTAGAGAGGTTAGACATCATTAGAATCAGGGTACCCTGTTTTCTGTAGTCTATTATTTTAGTAGGGGAGCCCTCCCAACCAAAAAAGGGTGAGAAAGGGCACCTAGCTCGGGGACCTAGACAAGCCGCTCGCGCGCGAGACAAATCGGCGGACATCGGCCTCTTGTGGCACCACGCTGCCGCAGCTCTCCACCGTGCCAGGCCCCGCATCCAGCAGCACGTCCAACGCCTCATGGACGAGTCGTGGCCTCTTGGGGGCGGTAATTTTGAAGGGAAGCTGGAAAAAGGCTTCCTCCAAAATGGGTGCCAAATGGAACAGGAGAAAGGCTTCATCCATTTTCGGGGGGTGCCACATAGAAGTCGAGCCGAAACGAAAATTGGAAAATTCAACCCATCGATCGGTTTAAACAAAAAAGAGAGGAGCCCTCGGACCTGGCAAGTGGGAAATGGCTCGACGAAATCGGACGGTGGGTTCCTTCAAGAAAACCACCTAGGGGATACAGAGGGGCCATTCAACTTGGTTGACGTTGGGTTTGGGGAGCCAAAATGAATAAATCTTAGCAGTTCAGTGGATTTGGATTTCAACCACTAAACCATAAGCAAAAATGTAAATTGCTTCCCAACAACAACCATGATTCCACCACCTGAGCAGAAAGTTTTCTGAGGTTCTGAGGTCCGGGGTCCATTTTCAACCTGGATCCGTGGTTTCAGAGAAGTTCCGTTTGTTCGGAATGGAACCAGAATCAGAGTCACAAGTAAAATGGCTCTAGCCCTCCCCCGAATGGCTGGCATTTTGGCCCACCCTACACCCTACCAGAAGGTCACCGAGCAAACCATTTGCTAGCTGTCGTGGGGTCCTTGAGGGGCGTCCGGCTCGTTGTGTCTCTTCAAGCATCGTCTTGGTTCAAGTTTTTGCTGGGCTGTTGCTGTTTGGACAAAAACGAGAAGATGCCAATGGAAAAGTGGGCCCCAACCCCCCTTCAAAGCCAAGGCCCGAAGGGGGCATCAACTCAAAAAAACATCTCTTGCTTCGGGGTGTGTTGAGTTGATTGGGAAACCCACTGGAGGAACACACCAAAAAGGCGTGGACACAAAGCGTGGCCCAGTCGATCGATTGGCCTGTCAAGCCAAAGGAACCACCCGTCCAAAAAAACTACAGGGACCATGGGCCGAAGGGTTTCCTACTGCAAAAACAAAGCGGATTCCTGGGATCCACTGGGCGGAGGTGTCCCTTAGCATGCCAGTTACACCAGGGTGAAACTGTGTGGCGCGATCCCCTTGGTAAGTCAGTAACGAAGTGAAAGGGATGACAAGTGACAAAATGGGGAAATGGTGTTATTTACATGCACCCCACTTGTACCTAGAAGCACTAAACACGCAAGGGGACCTCCTTTTTGGGCTCCATGGAATTTTGCAGGAGTATGTTTGCTGCATGTGTCCCATCCGGTCCACATCAACTCAATCCCGAGCGGCGCTCATAAAGAGGCCACTGGCTGCCAGCGAGCAGTTTCGCCCCATGGCGCACTCATAGTCCTCGCTGACCGTCGCTTCGTGTTTTGCTTTTTTCGGGTCGAGCGAACGGAAGCAACATCCGGGCGAAGATCAAATGGTTCACTGTGCCCATAGGTGTCCTGATGGACAAAACTTGCAAAACTCCGCTGGGAAATCAACTGATTCAGAGCCATTCGCAATCCAGTTCCAAACTCCAGGCGCTACACTCGTGTGCCACCGCAATAGTCCACAAATCCGCGAGTTACCAGGGGAAGCAACTGCAACCTATTGACTGGCCCGTGACAACAAATAAAAGGGAAAAAACACTACACACGCACAAAGAAACCAAGGGCAATAAGGTGCTTAGGGGCGAGGCTCTTGCTTCAAAGTAAGTGGTGATCGAGGGACCCTGGTCAACCACAGAACATTCCTTCCAGATCCTAAAAGTGTTTTGCTTTAATCAGGGCCAAATCAAAGCTAGTTGAACTACGTTCAAACCTGAGCCTAAGACTTAACTAATTTCTACCATCATTCCGAAGCTAAATAGCTTAGATGCCAACCGCTGGCCCACATTTGTTGGCCAGAATTGCGAACCACACAAAAAAAACAGCGCGACAAATGGGATTGTCTCAAAATATGTTTGGATTCGCTTTGAATCCACTCGAACAAAGTACCATACAAAAAGGAAAACAAACAAAAAATACCCAAAACGAGTACAGCTTCCCTCGACACAAAACGGGACTGGAAACAAACGGATCGCATTCAACTTCCTGGCCCAGGCCCATGGAACCAAACGTGGCGCCGGGGAGAAGAAAAAAACGACGAGTCGAGGCATATAGATCTTGCCCGTCTGAGAAGACACAAATGCAGCAAGCAATGTTGACGGATGAAGCATGCGAAGATTGGAAGTTTGCACAAATAATTAAAGTCAAGGTTCCCCTCTAATATGGGGCACCCTAACCAACATCAAAGATCTCTGCTGAGTGACAGGATTGCTTACCCTCCAAAAGCTGGTTTCAAAGGGAAACAAGCCCCAGAATCATCTGCATTACATCAGGCTTCCTTTAAACAACCTCCACGGGCAAAAAACGACCGAGTTCTGCATGGAACTCGTTGTTTCTTCCGCAGGACGAAGATGTGTCGCCAACCCGAACCTGCTTTTGCTCCCTCCAGTTTGTCCCTTTCTAGGTGCTCCAGTAGAGAGCTTAGAATAAGGGTACCCTTTTTTTGGTAGTCTATTTTAGGGGAACCCTCCCAACCAAAAAGGGGTGAGAAAGGGCACCTAGCTGGGGGACCTAGTTGATATGGAATTGGATTTAAACCTGTGGTTGTTGTGGGGGCAGATGGGAAACCTCTCCTTACTTACCGAACCACCAATCCAAACCACTAATCAGGAAGCTCACGCTCCATTGCTATGATATCAGAAGAACAAGTCCCCTGAGCAGCTGCTCGCCTGCTGATCCACCCGCATCACCGCCAGCCGGCCGCCCTCGTGGGTGAATTCCGCGGCAGAGCTGCAGAACTGGGTGTCCGCGTCCTGGAGCGTGGCAGAAACCACCTGAAAAATCCTGGGAATCCTCTTCTTTTCAGCTGGTAGTTGGGTGATTTGGCTGTGGGTCAAATATATATATATATATATGTACCCAAAGTTGAACCCTGCCAAATGGAACCAAGCACTAAAACGCGCGGTCCGGAGTCCCGTGGTTGCTTAATTTTGACCCATACCCATTTGTTGATTGGCCCACATGGGCATGAAGAAGTGGCTTCCCTTCAGGATTCCCGTTTAAGCCACCCAGAAGAAAGGGTACTGACTATATGCGGAGCCGCAACACACAACAAAAATAGAGGCCTCAAATGTCAGAAACCATATCAACTTCCCCAAAGAGACCGCACACGAGCGGCTCATGTTTTTGTTTTGAGTTTCTTGCCCTAACGAAAATGAATTCTTCACTCTTGATGGGGGGTGGCGAGATTTATCAGGATCCTTGCACCCTAGGCGCGCTTTATGAGAAACCCAGTCGTTTGGAAAACCGATTCATAGGGATCAACTGCGAAACCCCAAATCTCCAGGGAAACCCGCCAAAAAAAATCACCTTCTTTGGTCCTCAGAGAGAAGCCGGGGGTTGCAGGGCTCACGCAATAAAACAGTTTGTTCCCGAGACATGGACAAGTTGCGTGGTCGCCCCTGGTTTTGTGGGGTGGTGGTAGACCAAAAATGAAGTGGCTCAACAAAAAGGGCAGGAGTCATGTCAGGGCAAATGTACCAAAATGCCTTCTTAAATGGAACAGACTGAAATTTGCGATCTTTCACTTTGACCCACGCCCATATGGCCCAGAAACCAAAGACCTGTCCAACTCATAAGCTTGCATTTGGCCTCGAGGCTTACAAATGCATTCATGTGAGCTTCGGGATTAATGTGGAGGACGGTACTATTCAGGGGTGGTTCCCCTTTAAAAAATAAGGAAATTGTCAATTCTGGGGGGGTGATACCATTGTCTTAATGCAGGAACTTCAGTTTCGGGGTTTCACTTCTGCCCTAATGATCTGATTGATGGATGATCGCACTCAGTCTCGCTACCACTATCTTGTAGACCTCACGAGGCTCTATGCCATCAGCGCACGTGTCTGATGTATCGAGCGAGTAATGAGGTCTGCCGCGAGTTGCACAACCGGCTTTATGAGCATGCCTGCAGCAACCAACATTGACTGAACAGGCCTGTTTCCTTCGATCTCAAAGCAGTTTGCACTTCGTGATGCCTCCGTTTGCTTAAGTCCCCTGCAAAACAAATCCAGTAGTGAAATCGCTTCCCTTAAAAACCAACAGGGGAAAATACCATTAAAAACAACACATATTCTTAACCAAATTTAAATGGAAGGATGGTACTTCTTGATGAGCTTCCGCATCGGCAAAAATTCAGGCTTGAGCTTGGATTGCGCTTGGGCGTCCACTGACGTGTCCGGAGCCAGAGGATTCCACTCGGGGCGTGATACCGCTTAGAGAATTGGCCGGGTTAACCCCAAAATGGCTTGCACCGGTAAATGGAACCAAGGACTAAAACCTGCGGTCCCCATGGTAATGTAATTTTGACCCACACCCAATTCTGTGTTCTGCATACCAAGCCCCGAGCGGACCTTTGGGCCGCCACTATTTTGCTGGCCTCTTACAGGAAGTTCAGTTTCGTGCGCGATAGGTTGGGGATGATTTTGTTTGTGGTGGCCATTTGGGTGGGGGGATTCAGACAAAGGTTTGAGCTCTGCGATATTGTTGGGGCTATTCATGGAGAAATGCCCGGGCCCACCAAACATAGCTTACCCCTCCCCCAACAATCATAAAAGCTGACAGGAGGGTTTTGCAAGACTATGTTCCTTTTGCGCAACCTGTCCACTTCATTCCACTTCCATTGTTGGAAACAGGTTTTCCGCAAAAGTTGTACTCCTGGGATCCCTCCAAATGCTGAGAGTTTACGCATTCCCTAAACCATCCACCCACTGGGCCCCACCCATCTCCTCACCGTCGTACGAGGCGCAGTAGCAGATCTGGCGCGGTGGGAATCCTTCACTTGAGTCACAATCAAAACAGATCGGTACAAAAATGGTGAACCCAGAACCATGCTTCAAGAATTAGAAAGGCGGAGATCCGCAACTATTGCCGGCTGGGACTGCCCCTTACTAACCTTCATCTACCTGGGTTTTGATTGTGGCTCACTTTGGGAACACCCCCGTGGGTGATAAGCGTCCCCTTGGAAAAGCTTAAGTGTGGCCTCTTTCACGAGCCGTCAAAGACCCCTTGCTTCCGCCGTGGACTTGACCCCGTTTTCCTCACCTTTGGACGCATGGCAAGGCCCGCTACTCAAAAATGGGAAACGGGAAACGTTGGGGTTGATGTGGAGAACCTCACCAAAAAAGGGGAAACAGCTGCTGGGTTCAGCCCTCCCAGACTAATATGGATTTCAATAAGGAAGGCTGCCCCACAAAAACAGACTCTTCCTCTACAAAACACTTTGGCTTGCTGGCTTCCGCGTGTTTGTCTTAAACAGAGGACCCCAAAAAGTTGCATGCCCCCTTGTGCTTTCCTTTAGAATGGGCCCTTCAAACGGCCCTCTCAAATAACAACACTCCCATCTTAATCTCCAGTGCCCTCCTTGAGGCACTCGCACTGGTGACTTGCTTCCGACTTGATTGGTTGCTCATCTTGGCCCAACAAAACACAGAAACATAAGAAGCTCAGATGATGATCCGTGATGGGGAGTGCCAACCCCACCATGGGAGGTGACATCCTTAGAAAAAACAAGCCCAAAATGGGCTCAACCCCCCCCCCATTTTCTAAATGAATGTCGAACCCGCCTATCCGTGTTTGCCCTCAAATTTTTGACACCTATGTAGGAGAGCCCGGATTGTCCCAGTCACTCACTTCCAGTGAGGCTCGAACAAGTGCAAACTGCTTGGCACTCAGATGGTCCCCCAAAACGAACCGGGAAAGTGAGGACAACAGAAACATCCCATCTGTCCAATCCGAGCAAACATCCTATATATGTTGTTGGCAGACACCTGCAAAACATGAACAACGCCAAACAACTCAAACACGCCAAGAACTGCAAAGCTTTCTCTCTGAACGAACCTTTAAAAGGGTACTCTAACACACACAAACCCACACACCCACCCACCCACCCGCCCGCCCGCCCACCCACCCACCCACCCGCCCGCCCACCCGCCCGCCCACCCACCCACCCACCCGTCCAAACAGTGCATCGCCTTGAAGAGGCCGTTCTCCTGCACGAGGCCCACGTCGAAGAGCGCGAAGTTCTCCCCGTCGTTCTCGCTCAAGGCACTGACAGAGGCCTCCGACGCATTGGCCGCCTCGGGTGCCGTCAGTTTTCAAGTCGTGTTGTAAGCTCCGTCCGGGCTCCTTGAAAAATACATGGGTGTGTCCTTTGCTGAGGGTACCCTTTGTGAGCCGCTTTAGAGGGGAAGCAAGAGGAAACCCAATTGCCATTTTGGGGGATTGCCATTTTGGGGGGGTTCTCGATTTTGAGACATCCGGAAACTGGCTTAAGGGAAGCCTCTAAGCTGAGAAGCAAAAGCGACTTTCCATTGTTGCATGCTCCAGTGGATCCGAACCCTGTAAATAACTGGAATAACATGGATGGAAGGGTTACCTTCTACAGAGGGGAGTCCACGTGGTGCTGGATGGTTCCCCCGAGTTGCCTACCAACAAAAAAGACACAGGTCCAGGGTGTAAAAGCAGATAGGTGTGAAAGCACAAGGTAAGCAACCCAGTAAAGGGGATAACAAGGTACCAAGTAAGGAAATGGTGCCGTCTACTTTCACCCACTTACAACTGGATGGCACAATATTTCTTGGTAGGTACCCGGAAAGGCTAAAAACCATTGGAGAATTAGGCCACACCGGCTGAAGAGAAAACCCTCTAGCTGGTGATTGTCCAGCTGAGCGAATCCTTTAAGGGAGAGTGATCAGGGGTGCCCCCTTGCTTGGGGGCCTCCCATTTGGGTCCCCAATTTCCTCTGATCTTTGGGAGAATTCCTGACTGCAAAATTCGGCCAACATTCCTGTCCAACTACCCCCAGACGATCCGAATGTAGCTAACATATATATATATATATTACCTACAGTCCAATTGCCTGAGGTGCTTCAGCCCTCCCCCCCCAACAAAAATGCCACCTGGGGAGGGTTATGGAGGGTTTACCGTTCGAAAACTAGAGATCCGATCCGATCCGAGGTGCGGGGGAGCCAAAGTTCAGGCGCAAGGCGTCCTGGCGTCCAGGCGGGGTGCACGTTTTCCCCAAGGCGTCTCGGGGTAACTCCCCAGACTCTACCTGGAGTCTCCTGACCCTTTAAAAATGGGTCCATGACCCCATGATTTAGGGTAATGACCAACCATTTTTCAAGGGTCAGAAGGAGACTCCAGGTACAAACCACCCGGTAAAAATGGGGGCTTCGCCCCAGAATTTTCGGGGGCAATAACCCAGGAGAACCCATGTTTAGAGGTTTTATTATAAGGGTTCAGGTTGGGGCTTGGCCATTCCCGTTATAACCAAGATTCATTTCAGAAAATAATCGGGACGCCGAAAAAGCTGGAAAGCACGCTTTGTTAGAAGGATGCCTCTGATAAATATGGTCTTCCGGATAAATCCGAAGTTCACATGTGTGAACCCTGCTAACCCAAGCGTTTATTCCATTGGCTCAATTGCCAAACCTGAACATCTGGTTGGGACAGTTGCCGACAATGGGGTTTCTTCCAAGTACCGTCAAGCAAATGCTTCATCCTGGTTGACCAGGGCTGTGAGAAATGACCACTTCTATGATACAACAAGAAGGGCTTCCCAAAGACTACCCCCCTCATATAAGGGGGAGATTCCCTTGTATCACAGTGGGGATAAACCCCGAGTGATCCCACAACCCTGTTGTGGACTAAGCTAGAAAATAAGGAATCTTTCAAGTTTGCCAAGGGTGGGAAACCCTTATAGTTTCCAAACAATGGTACATGGATCTGGGCAAATGGAATCACTAGGCACTGCTTTACGGGGCAGGGTGCTTAACTGGCTATGAAACTTACAACCATGACAACTCATCAAAGATGGAACCTCACACTTGGTTGACGTTGGAAGGGGAGCAAAACAATAATTTTTAGCAGTTAAGTGGTTGGATTTCAACCACTAAACCACAATAAGCAAAAATGTAGAATGTTTCCCAACAACAACCATGCAAAGGGGGGTCCTGGAAGAGTATTGCCCTTCCTCCCACTAACATGGCACCCACTAGAGGGTTCCTTTTAAAGTTACAGGGCCCCTCAGTCAGGTTCCATGTCAGCGGACAAAAAGGCATCCTTTAACAGCGTGTTAGGATCACCCGTTCTTCCCCCTGCAGGTTCTTTTTTGGTACTCTTTTAGTACTCTTTCAATATGCCACAGTGGTTCCACCGATTCGCCACCTCCAAACCGTTTTCTAGACTGGCTAGGTCCTCCAATAGAGACGCTAGAATAAGGGTACCAACTTTTTTCTGTAGCCTATTTTAGACACGGGGAACCCAAAACCAACCAAAAAAGGGGTCAGAAAGGGCACCTAGCTGGGGGACCTAGCTGGAGTTCCAGGTCAGGACCAGAGGGTAACCACCTGACATACCTCTGCCTCTCGCCTGGAAGCTCAGCGAACTGCAGGTGGTCCGTGTGGAGGTGAGTACCGCCGTATCCGTGTCCCTGGCGCGACGGCCTTCCGACGCCTCTCGGTCTGGGAAGCCTTCCATTGGCTGCATGAGGCCTTCCTGGGACACATGAGAATATACAAGTCCAGTAGTGATATAAACTCCCTCTAAAGTCGACCAGGGAAAATAAGAATTACACCTGCCTAGACCCCAAAGAGCGAAAAACTGCACCTGCACCCACACTGCGTGCCGTCAATCTCGCAAATCACTTTCCCCTCTTGATCAGAAGCTATCTGGGGAAATAAAGCAACTTCTTAATGAAAGTATGAAAGGTTTCTTGCAAAGCCCAGGAGCCTTCTCCCCGACAGCCCCGAAATTGCTGGACTTCGCAGAGGACCCCTCCTGAAAACAAAGTGTTGATTTGGGGCTCCAGGATGCTAGTTGTCCTCCCTTTGGACTGCAAGGCCTGAAAAAACAAATGGAGCTAACAGCTAAACTCGCTTCCGATCGAAAGGATTGGCCCTTACCATGGAAATGGTCTTTCCAAAAAGTAAAGTCCAACCTGGAAGTGAGTAACCCTAGCCAGAACAGAGAAAACACACAACAGCGCAGGCCAATCCGATCTGCCCTCTTGACCCGGCTCCCCGCAAAAGAGTGAAGGATCCCTAGAACGGGACACGCCCTGTGAATCAACCAAGGACTTCATCCTGGAGGAGACTGCTAGGAGTATTGCCCAACCCCCGAGACCCCTGAATTCCCCAGCTCGATCCTGGCTATGCACCTCCTTTAACCATAGGCTTTGGCGCACTAGTTGGGCCCAGGTTTGGGTCCAAAAACGTTGGTCGCAACATAGGCTTTGACCCTGAAGATGTGTGGGGTGGGTCAACCTGACCCGCCCCCAAAAGAGAACAAGTACCGCCAACAACAAAAAACTTGGAACGGCTTCTGTGTCAAAAAGTGGGAAGTCCCCGTGTGTTTTTTCTGATTGACATTCAGTCCCCACGTCCCTCGTAAATACACACATTCAGCATGGTATTGTGACCTCACCTCCTACGTCAACAAGTCAACATAGGCTAGGTCCTCCAGCAGAGAGGATAGAATACCTTTTTCTGTCGTCTATTTTAGTAGGGGAACCCTCCCAACCAAAAAAGGGGTTAAAAAGGGCACCTGGCTGGGGGACCTAGTAGGGGACTGTCGACATCCAGAGCCCAGATGGCCACGGTTCAAAACCAACGGTACCATTTTGGGATAGGTGCACCACCCATTTTAGTCGATTTTAGTGGGGATTGGGGTGTTCACTGGGTGTACGATTTGGGCTTTGACGCATGGCCAGATGGGAATCCACTCTTGTGTCGCCGTGTAGGCCTCGCCTCAAGTAGCGCCCGGTGACGTTCAGGATGCAGTTCCTCCGAGGTCGAGGGGGGCCCACACGGAATGCGGGGAAAGCAAACACGCACAAAACCACTCCCCCCCCACCAGCGAAACACATGCCGACTACACGGAACACGGGTGATTCATACAGGGTGTTCCGCGGAAAATACTAAGTGGAGCACGCGCCCTTCAAAATCCATATCAGTTAGGGCTTGCTAATCCCGGGTTCCCATTTATTCGAGCAATGTACAACCAACTGTCATTTCTCCTCTTGCAATGATATATCCATCGGCTCCCAGACACAATGATTCTTGGTGCTACCAACATGGTTGTACAGGTTGTGTATAGGGCGTCACTATCAGAGATATTAACCAGCTAGTCGACCTAATAATAAGATGACCAATACTTTGATGTTCCAACTTAGTACGCAGATTATAACCATGCTTATAGGTCAACCGACCCCTGTTGTTACATGTGGTTCTGACCCACTTAGGTTCCAAATTAAAGGAGACAAATATGTGCATTTCTGAAAATAGGGGCCCCTAAAGGTTCCGGCCAGTCAGTGTTTGCTTGTTTTGCAGCAAAACCAACAATCCCAATCCCAAAGGCCAGCCAGCTCTGAGAAACACAAAAAAAAAGCCCACAAGCCCAAAAAGACCAGAGGAAATACTCGGAGGTTCGGAAAAAACCCTGACACCGGCAGTCAAACACGCAACCCCCCCCCCCCCGCCTCCCCCAACTTTTCGGTCAAAACCGCACCGCGCCAGAAACGACAACGGCTGGCTACGCCGCCCAAACCGAGAAACCGGGACCGTCCGGTCTCTGCGCTCGAACCAAGCCGAGAAGCTGGCTGAAGCGACAGTAGACGGTGCTGGGCAGGGCGCTGCGGACCTTGAGGTAGCCCGCCGGCTCTTTAAAGCGGCTAGGGCTCACGCAGCTGTTGCCTGCCAATCCGACGGCCCCCCCCCCACTGGACCCAGCTGGAGCCGGAGCCTGAAAATACCCAGCGGAAAAGGTCATCGCCTGCCCAGAGGGGTCCTTTTAGATGGCACATAGATGGGTTTGGTAGATGAGAAAAGATCACCAGGTACACCAGGAAGTTCCATCGATTTGTCCACCAAAACCAAAAAGGACACCTATGCACATTCCCCTGTTGCACCATCCAAAAAATACAATCCGAGCATCTCGACAGGGGGGCGGGGTTGAAGGTTGAATCAGGGGTCAACATTGCTGAAAGGGAGGGGCCTAGGGGCAGTCAGGCAGTCCACAAAAATACGAATCGGCCCAGATTTGGACGGTGAATTCCCATTCCTAAGAGAAATTTGAGGGTCCACTCCGACTGTAGGTGCGTGGATGGTTGCGAAATTCGCACCACTGTTCAGAAAACTGGGCGTCTGATTCGATTCCCCTGTGAATACCAACCTGGTTTCTTAGGCGGTGCAGGATTTTGTCCACAGTAATATATCAACAGCACTGACCCATTTGGAGGGTGCATGTGGGTGTATATATTACCTACACCCTGGGCGTCCTCGACCATACTTTTATGTGTCTAGGCCATAAACTGCGGAAACCACCTGCTGATTGTGTCCCTCAACCATAAAAAGGAAAGAGGGTCGCAGGCGTCATTTGACTGGCCGAGTATGAGTTACTTTGGATCTCTTGTTTTTTGGAGGTGATTGCGCCATTGTTTTGACTGATTCGCAACGCTCAATACATCGTAATTCAATCGGCGTACATGTCTGATCGTTCGCGATGGGATTTGACACAAACGAAATACTTTGAGCCTTGTAGAGCCAGCTGCATTCGCTTTGGGTAAGGCAAAGTAGTTTCAAGCGAAGTCCACAGGAATGTTTGAACACCATACGCCGGCATCATTTGGACTTTCTTGGAACCGAGTTCTGCAGAACCTGCTGGTGCGTCCAAGCCCCGTTTTGCTGGCTGGATAGTGTGTGCACGTTGTCATTGTGTTATATTGTGTTGCTCGTTTTTTCTTTGCCTTCACTCATCAAGTCACAGGCTGCATGCACCCGGCGCAAGCATTGCGATGAAAACGTTGTTTTCTTTGAAGAAAATGTACCGTGGACAAACCATGGACAAATCGTGGAACGACCATAAAAAGGCGTGGAACGACCACAAAAAGGCGTGGAACGACCATAAAAAGGCGTGGACAACTCCCTAAAACGGCATGGACAACTCCCTTGTGGACAGGCCCTGGTTGCAGGCAAACAATTCCCAGGCAAAACAATTCATCACCGACAATAGTTTTGGCTTCGACAAAGCCAAGTGCGGACACCCCCCAACCTCACCCCGTGTTTTTCTGGGATTACGATTGCAACACATTGGACCTTCAAACTCCGTTGCCTAAAGCTTATGAGCAAAAAAGACTAAAGCCCAATTTTCATATGTTCATTGAACATTGGGAGTTTATCAAATTCGCGCGCGTAAACAAATTGCTGGAACTAGCTGAGGAGTAAGCACAGCCGGTTTGATCAGCTTGCTTGTCAACATGATGGTCTGGCCGACAATATTTCTCCGCAAAGCAGGCATGAAATCCTGGCAATCACCCGCACTCAAATGTAGTCTTATGTGACATTCTTAGGCGCTTGGCTGGTTGACTTCTCATCCTGCTTGCCTTACCGATAGGACCAAAAAAGCCAACTTTGTACAATCCCCATTTATAGCCTCCATTTATAGGTCTTTAACCATTTTATGGCCTCTGCTTCTCGCCCATACTTTTAATGGTCTTTGGAAGCATAGGGTACATGAATTGTCTGGGATCGGCCGTGCTTCCCGTCACGCGAACCGGTCAGGGAAACCACCATGATGTTCTGGTGACAAATCGAGTGCTTCCAGTTCTCAAAGTAGGTAACCCTGCGGTTTTTGGTTGGGGCTTCGGTGTCCGTTTGCCTTTCCATCAAAACCACAAAGGGGGTAGCCTCAACAAGAAAAAAGAGACACACCGATCTACGCATCTAGGTTGCACCATCTTTGGCGAAACGCCGGGGATGGCCAAACGGCTCCGACCAACAAAAAGTCGACTCGCGAGCCGAAAGGGAGAATGAGGAAAATTCGAAAGAGCCACCAAAAGTTAGACATGAGAGTTGAGTCTGGCAATGTCCCAAGGAAAGTAGGACATATGCTTGTTGGAAGTGTTCATTATGTCTGCTTTGTTTGTGTATTATGTAAGGTCCTTTCAAAACCATCAGTTGTCGCAGTGGATGCCTCAGCGCACAATGGACGACAGAAGTAACCGATTCTCCCGAAAAGGACATGTGTGTGTGTGTTCTTGCTTTTTTGGGGACCCCGCCAAACTGGCGCAATGGTTTTCCTTTTGCCTTCCCTTTAAAACCCACCGCCCCCGCCCCCCCAGAACAAAAAAAAAATTCAACTAGCTCCTCCAGTAGAGAGGTTGGAATAAGGGTACTCTTTTTTTTCCGTAGTCTATTTTGGTCGGGGAACCCTCTCCCAAACAAGGGTAAAAGGGCACTACTGGGGGACCTAGACAAAAGACAGACCCAACAAGGACATGGAGCACTTGGGCGCTCCTCCAACTCCTTCTCAACCCAAAATGCGACTCTCACTTCTGGCCGGTTTTGGTCGGCGTGGGGGGTGAATGGGGCTGGGGGTGGAATGCTTCGAGCAGAATGCCTGAAGGATTCAAACGGCGATGGGGAAATTGGGATGTTGGGGCCTACAAAAGCCCAATTCTCAGTGACTGATCATACTTAGTCGCAACATATCCAAAGAAATGTGTTTCAAACAATGAGCCTGAAACCGTCATATTCATCCGTCACGGCCATTCCCCCGTGTTTTGGTTGACACGTTGTCGCCAACGTGAAAAACATGGACCACATCAAAACACGTGGCCTTTGGAAGGCCAAAGATCCTCGAAATGTCCATCGCCCATTCATTCAGCCCTGAACCAAGGGCGGTTGGCCCAAAACACATTAAGAAAGCCCATTCATTCAGAAGCCCTGCTGAACCAAGGGGAACCTCGCCGATTCATTCAGCCCTGAACCAAGGACATTACCTGGCCCCGAAAAAGCTTAAGAAAGGAAACCAGATGGGCCATTCAGCTTGGCCCCTGGTTTTGGATTGGCGGAGGTGTTCCGGGGATCCCATGTCCCCGCAAAAACGAGGGGCTCACATCCCCAAACCAATCCAAATCCGAGTAAGGCCACACGCTTTTTGAGTACCCCTATGGTCCAAATTCGTAGTTCATGGCACCCCATTCGATCTAGGCCCTTGAGGGGTCACTTAAGCCATTTAGCTGAAAAAGAAAAACAAGGACACGTTTTCGAGAACCCCCCCGGCATGTTTTTAACTTGCCTCGTGCAAAGCCTATACCAGAGCCACTTAAGCCATTTGATAGTCACACAAGGTGGTTTGAACCCAGGGTGCGATGCCGTTTGACTCGTGACCGCCAACCTGATACTCAGGCAATGACCCTGGAAAAGATCCTCTTTTTTCCGGGCGATCACAGGGAAGCCAACAAAAACGGACAATCACACCACTGAACAACTGGGGATATAGACCTCACGTGTTCAACGGGAAAAAAAAAGGAAAAAATGTCGGACCTACCTGCAGAAACTGAAGGCAAGTCATCGGAAGGCATTTTTGATTTGCAGGTCCCTGTTTGAGTTGCAAACCAGGGCTCCCTATATTTCCCCAAAAAACATCACCCCCACCAAGGGACACATCTTTCATGAGCCAAAAAGGTGATGTTTACAACCACCAAAAAAGGAAATATGGCTCAAAGTTCCTTCTCCCCCGCGCAAAGACCTTTGATGCTGTTCAGCAACCAACCTGTTTTTGTGACTGAAATATACTCTGCAACCGAAACGTTGGTTCCTCATACGTGTGAAGCCATGAGTATCGAAATAAGCATTCAGCGTTGACGATGTGCTCGGAGATGTGGCAGGCACCCTCCACGGATGAAGGGCCGCACCCGGTGTCACTTTCTCCACACGCTGAAGCTTATCAGACATGATTCTTCACACAGAATGCACACATAACAATTTGGATATAGAAAACGTTTCGCGACCCCCAATCTCAGACATCCGTCTGTACATACCAACAGATTACTATCCTCCAAATGGGTTAGATGTGGTGGTACATAGGCTGGAGTTAGGACCCCAGCAAATATATATATATATATACATATCTTTTTTGCCCGGTAGTGGAAAACAAAGGGAACCCCAAAAAAGCAAAAAAGTAAAAAGGGGAACTCATTTTGGGGAAGCTACATGGATTGATTGTCTGGGAATAGGCCTCTTTTTCTGCCTTACCAGTTGTTTGTGTGTCAACGGTAGAACAAATGGGTCCACGGGTCCATACGACTCGAGGCTCGAGCAACCTGGGGAATTTGCGGCGTACTCGGATGTCACCCGTTTGCGCGCCTGGTTATCCACGAAGTCAGCAAAGTTTGCGTCGCAAGATGGGATTTACAGACCTCACGGTTCCTCAAAGAACTCTTGAGGGTCCTTTCGGATATGGACAACTCCTTTGAGCCCTCTGGGCCCTGAAAACCATCCGTAGCCCACGGGGAACCACCCGTTTCCAGCGCCTTCGTAGCAAACGCACAGCAGCTGCGAGCCGTAGGAGATTGCCTGACGGCAATCTAAGCTGTGGCGTTCATGCGTCTGAGTCTGTGTCTCTGTGTGTGTGCTCTTTTTAAGTGTGCCGTTTTCAGGTTGGTGTGAAGGGAAACCAGAAGGAGCACCACCATTTTGTGAGGTCTCCCCATGTTGACCCATGTCGAAAGGGGTAAACCATCCAGACTGCTTAGATCTGCTGATCGAGGAGTGGTTGGGAATTAACCCGAAAGTTCCATCAACCAACCGTGGAGGTCTTCTGGGTCTGAACTGACCGCTTCGATATGCTCCTTTGTATGCTTTATGACTCGGTTGCGAAATCTGCTCCCCTGCTAAAAGTTTAACTTTTGGTGGTTTAATACGGAAAACCCATTGGTTGGCAAGTTAAAGTCCTAACAGCCAAGCAAAATGCACCAAAGATAAGGTGGATAAAAGGCGGAACAAAAACATGGGTCGATTCGAGGAGGTAATTCCTATGATTCGTCCCACGAAAACGCCATGTTGCGTCTCCGAATCTCAGAATTGACAGGGGTGTCACTTGCCGACTTTCCATGAAGACGCACAATCCCCCGAAGAAAAAAACAAACCAAGGGATGGCCGCCTAGCCGCCCTCTATGAAAGTTAGGTTGGGACTATCCCCAATAACTTGGCACTCAAGAATTGGGCACATAGAAAATAAATGTGCTGATTCGGATTTACACTAAGTCTACCCTAAACTGAAGAAACCTGTTGTTCTGGAGGAGACCCCAGCTATGGGTGCGTAGCTAGGGACCGTGTGTGGGAATGGGGCATTGGGTGTTCCATGCGAATCTTTGGCCCAAACCAAAGCGGCAAGACACCAACAAATCGAACGGACCTGAATCTGTTGTTTCGGTTCAGAACAAAAGGCATGGCCAACAAAAGCCACCCTGGTCCCGTGGTATATTGTGAGGATGTATTAAGTGCCAACTTGACCCTGCAAGTACGTAGGTATTTGGACCCACGCGTGGGTTGCTTGGAGGAGCATCTGAATGAGATTCCTTTATCCAGGGGAACCTTCCTGAATAAGTACCGGAGAAGCGTCACTCCGACTCTCGCGACTGCCTCGCCCAAGAAGACTCGCACGATGGCTGTCCTCGTCGGTTGATTCATCCAGTAAGTTGAACCCTAAGTTAAGGGCTTCAATGGGTGCCGGTACGGAGATGATACAGAAGTTATATGCGTGTACATGTATAGATATACATATATATATACACATATATTATTGTAAATACACTAGCTATATAATACATATCATACGTGTGCATATATATATATATTAATATATAATATCTGCACATAGCGGAACTGTGGTGCATTGAAAGCTTATTAAATTGTATATTGACCTCAATGCGTCCTTGACCAAGCCATCCAATCCTTGGCAGAAGCAACTGACTGCAGCCACCTGCCCAAACATGGACAGAACCAAACGACAAACAAAAAACACAAGAACACTGAAGTAAGGGTCCAGGGTCCTAAGGAGGGACCATGTCCCTTTCTCCTTCAACCACTTCCATTTGCGAATACGTCCCCCAGGAAAAATGGCAACATATGTCCAGTAGTGAAACATCTCCAGTTAAAGTTTGTGAAGTCTGACTCGCAACTTCCCTTGGTCCACGTCTGGGTACACAGAAACTAGAACTGTCAATGTATGTTTCCTGCTTACCCCTTAAAACTCCAAGGATTGGGGAAGTTAACCTTTTACAGACATATAGCCCATGTTACCCAAAAAGTTGAAAAGTTGTGTCTTTAAGAGGTAAGCCTGGTTCGTGTACCCTAAAGTCTAAGAATCCTTTGGAGGAGACCTCACTTGCTCCACTTCCTTGAGCCTTCTGGCCGGTGGGCCTGCCTGATCTCAAGTGCACGCATTGCCAAGGGACCTCAAGAAACCCTACAAACCATTCTTCGAGCCTGTCGGAAAAAACAAAAAAAACGTGCTGAATAAAGCCCCCGCCGGTTTGCGCGGGTGTGTCGGGGGAGTTGGTTAGGTCCCTAACTTGCTTGCCCACCGGTTTTATAGAGCAAAAGGCACACCCCCTGAAGAGTGCCACTGTGCAACTGGGGTACCGATCCCCTTTCCTCCCCGCTACTAGGTACATAGGTACCAAGGGTTCAACACCGCAAGGTCGACATACTCCACTTGCGGGTCATTCGGGCCACTGGCACTAAGCCCACACCATGACGGCCATCCAAGTAGGGTCCTTTGTAGGGTTCAATCAAAAAACAAGGGTGCAACAATGCAAGGTGAACATACTCCTCTTGCAAGTAGTTTTGGCAATAAGCCAACAACCCCCACCATCTAAGTAGGGTTCAACAAAAAAGTAGCCAACACCCCAGGACATCTGTTGGCCCCGTCAACCAAAAAACCAGATCAACTTCGCCCGGAGAGCCAGAGCCAGTCCTGTTCCCCTCACTGAGGTAGGGCTCCTCCAGAGCCACCAGCGTGCCTCGAGAAAAAAAGAACCGCTCCGCGGCAAGGCGCTTGGCAGCGAAAAAGAGGCTCAATGGTCGAACCTGAGCTTCACAACCCTGGGTATGGGGGTGCGAAACAACGTTGTTTTTGGCAGCCCCCTTAATAAAAATGACAAAAATATCCAAACAACTAAAACATGTGACATATCTGGAAGCTTCTACAACCGGGTGCCTCTGACAAAATTGGCCCCTCAGACGCAGCGCTGGCCCCTTGGTTTCTTATTGATCTTGGGTATGCGCAAAGAGCCTGTCAAAAATTGTTGGCATTCAGCACCAACCACTAAAAGCTACTGGCTTACGCATAAGTCTGCATGTTGCTCCACAATAATGAAAAATACTTTAGAATGCGTGCAAAGTGTTTGACCATTTCTCACTCGCTATGCGTCAACAACTTCAGGCTGTCATCTTGTTCATTCTGGGCCTAGCTGACAGGCACTCTGGGCGTGTGAGCGTCCCACTTACTCCTGCTCATTATTTCTCAACTCTTCTCAAAGGAGATCGGTGAGGTAAAAGGTTTTGCCGTAAAACTTGCCAAAACTTGACGTTGGCCGGGCCTGGCTACAATTTTGACAGGTGGCCCAGTGAATCAATTTACCTGTATATGTAACCAAGCAAGCCCTCGAATTCTGACGAATGAATCGGTTCGGATCCATGGCGTTAAAGCGCGAATGAAAGTCGTTGATTGGCACCTGGGACCGTCTGTGCTCTTGACATTGCAAGCCCCAAAAAGTCAAAGATACTGCGATTCGCAAGACCGGCGGCTTGGTTTTGTGTCTTCCACCACCCGAAAGCAAAACAAAAAAATGGCAATTATACCTGGAGTCTCCATGACCCTTTAAAAATAGGTCCACGACCCCATCATTTAGGGTAATGACCCCATTTTTCAAGGGTCAGAAGGAGACTCCAGGTACCGAGCCTCCAAGAAAGACGCCCAACCCCCCCCCCCTCTCACGGCGTCTCCGGCTCGCGCCTGGGTTGTTGAGCACAAAGGACCTGAAGCCCTGAAAGTTCTGCGTGCCTCGGGTCGAGCAACGGAATTCCTCGAGACCGCCGCGCTTTGAAGAGCTCTTCTCGAGTCCGAAAGCCGAGTCAACGAGTCATTTCGGTGGCCTGGCGTTTTTCCTGTTACAAGCCCAAGTCTCCATTTTGAACAGCCCAGAAATGGTTTCCATGTTCAAAAACTGCTAGTACAAGAAATGTCAAGCCCAGGTAACCAGGCATTCACGGTTGGTTTCCCCTCGTCACCTACTATAGCGGCAACTGGGCGCACTGGGTATGCGAGGATGGCTTTGTTTGGCTGACATTTTCTTGAGCATTCGCTTCCCTCGCTCCTGGATCCTGGAAGCATGATGTTACATGCGCCTTTTTTATAATGGAGTGTAGCTTCAGAAAAGAACCAATAGGACACCACTTGCTTTGAAGTGTGCTCATGGGCACACTTCTTTTCAGGGGCTACTTTGTCTGCCCTAAATTTGGAGGGCTCTCAAGGCTGACTTGCTGAACAAGAACAGCGGGTTGACCCCTTGCACGCCTGACAAATCGCCATCAACAAAGCCTAAAGCAGTTCACTTCCCAAACCACTTGCTGGCTGTTGGGGGATCGCTTCCGTTTTTGGGCAGGCAGTCACTTTTGTTTACCCCAAGGTAGACTTAAACCCACGGGTGGTTCTCTTTCCCAGGAGAACCGCTCTCCTCTAATCCTCGCCCCCCTGGTCCCCTTTGAAGGTAAACTCAAAAGAAGCGGTTGAAACGATCGGTGTTCAACTTACCCCTTAAAACTCCAAGCCCTGGGGAAGTAATCTTTTACAGACATATAGCCCATGTTACCCCCAAAAAGTTGAAAAGTTGTGCTTTTAAGAGGTAAGTCAAACCTCCCAGTGCTTCCAAATGCCACTGCAAGCAACAGGTATTTTTGCCAGCTGTTCTCATGGATGGGTTCCCAGCTACTTGAGCGACTTCCCGAGGCTCCTTTATTCGGGACTGCGTCTCTACAGGAAAACCAAAAGGAAACAACTCCATATGCTCCATTTGCTGTAGGCCCCTGGAAAACTAAACATATTTCCATTAGGTTTAGATTCCTCTTAAAACCAACAGGGGGAAGAAAAAAGAAAAAAACAACTCTTAAGCAAATGGACGATGTGCTCGTTTTTGGGGAAAATATTAAGCAAATGGACGATTTGTGTTTTTTCTCATACACCCAGCGTGGGCCAAGCAGCTGCCGGTGCCGCACACTGTGCCACTGCCATAGGCGGAGTCGAGGACGGCGGCCACAACGATGGTGCTGGGGATGCCGTACCTCGGAAGTCGGGTGCCAGGGGATTCTCAGTGGATTTACATGGCCGTGGGTCAAGAATGGGGTAACCCCAAAATGGGGCCCTGGCAAATGGCACCAAGGCCTAAAACCTGCGGTCCCCTAGTGGTTTAGTTTTGACCCATACCCACATGGTTGCTTTCTGCTCTGCTAAAAGTTGAAATCACTTTTTGTGGTTTGATACGGAAAACCCATTCGTTTGCAAAAAGTTACTTTTAGTAGTTTAATACGGAAACCCCATTCGTTGGCAAACAGTTAAAGTCCTAACATCCAAGCGAAATGCACCAAAGGGATTTTCAGTGGATTTACATGGGCAAAAACTCACTTGTCAAGTGGATTGGCCAAAAACGTCTGAACTTGTTGATGTGCCACTAAAATGGTCTTCCCAGAAAATCCAGGAACTCAGGAAGTGACCTCTTTCGGGTACATGTCTTCTGAACAGGAAAAAACAACTCAAAAAAGACACACCCACACACCCACACACACACACACACCGTTTCCCCTATCGGCAACGATACCCCCCTCGCCAATTCCTTCGAACCAACTCGCTAGACTCACCGAGGCGCCCGTCGAGCTCGATGGTGCAGGGCGCCCCCGTGACACACTCCGCGCCGGCGCCGGTGTCCAAGAAGGGCAGCATACTGCGGATTTCGGCCAAAGTTGACTCACTGGCTGAGTGGATGGCCAAAAAAAAGTCCAAACTTTATATTTATCACTAAAATGGTCTTCCCAAAAAGTTTAAAGTTCATGAACTCAGGAAGTAAGTTGAGAAGTTTCCCTTAAAGAGGGCGGGGCGTTTCCCCCATTTTTGCGGTGGGGTTCAAAGGAAAACCAAAAGGAACACCATTGGAGGGTCCCCCAAAAATATCGTGTTTGTTTTCCCTTACTGGCTGGTGCAAGAGATGCAGGGGATGAGAAATGGAATGACCATTCAACTCGTGGTTTCCTTTAAGGGAATGCCCAGGTTCATTCCTTCATTCCCTACTGAGCACCAGCAAGCTTAAAGACAGCGGGGTGCGTCGTTGACTTTTGACGGGAACCCTTGTGAGGGTGGTTTAAAAGGGAAACCAATGGGAAACCAGCAATGAGTCAACATAATGTGTAGTGAAATCGATGCAAAAAGTGGTTTCCCTGGTGCTCAATAGGGAAGGATCCAGGGTTTGGGAATGAACCTAGGGATTCCTTAAAGGAAATCATACGGATGTCTTATAGGGTGAAGTCCCTTGAACAAATGAGAACATATTTCCAGTAGTGAAATCGATTCCCTTTAAAACCAACAGGGAAACATAAACCAAATTAATTTCAGCAAATGGAAGCTTAAAGCCAGGGTGTCCCCTTGAGTTGTCCGGCCCGGGTCTAAATGAGGTGAACGCACGCTGTTTCAGTTTCCTGAAATGGTCACTTACTTGCTGGTTCCTTTTGCCTTGTCTGAGTTGGTAGCCTTTTGAAGGTTAGTGGCAAGGGAAATCAATGGCAAACCCCGCCATGTCCGGCGTCCTTCTATTTTGCCACATACCCCAAACTTGCTGGTTTGATAGTTTGGGAATCACCTTTGGAGTGTTGGGAAATGAACCTAAGGATTCACTTAAGAAAACCACCAAGGAAGGGTTTTTGTCGGGGTCATTCCCCCAATCCCTGAGAACCGTGGCTTTGGTGGGTCATACCCCTTGGTTGGTTGGGGAGTGCGAAGAGCACGCGGCTCACTGCAAAGGGTTAGTCCAGGAGCTGGACATTGCAGGATGGTTTAGGGGTTTTCTCTTGCGGCGGATGCCGAACTCGCAACCATGCTACATGCATGCTTGTGAAAAAGCCTCCTTTTCTACGAAACTAAAACGGACCTTCCCCAGCCGTTGCATGTTCCTTCAGCTTTTGACCGCTAAACATGATCTGTGGCCTCCAGCAAGCATGTAACAGCGTGCAGGGCCTCTAAAACACCCCACTCTATGTGCACTCTTGTACTGGATCCATAGTTCTATCCGTTTTAGGTTTCAAGGAAAAAGCCCAAGTAGTTTCCCAAAATGTCCTTTTGGGGCCTTGTCACACTGGTCAAGCCATGAAATGACCAGCAATTGTCCACCGGGGGAAGGTCGGCAGCCTGTGGGTTGTTTTGAGGTTCCCTCAAAACAAGACCATGGAAGAAGTGATAACTCTAGGACTCCCCAACCCCAACACACCAACCCACAAATGATAATGGTCCATTTTAGTCTTTCTCAAAAAGGTGTATCTGGGTGCGTCCCCGCAAAGGCGAGGGGGGGTTGAAACAGCCTCCGGCTCGAATCGCGCGCGAGTCGCCCGCGTTTCTGCCTGACGAGGCCTACTTCGTAGGGCATGGAGCTGCAATTCCCCGCGTCCACCTCCTGCTGCAATCCCTCCGGGCCGAAGCACATGACGTAATCTCCTCAGCTTCGGTCAGAGTGACTGACCCTGCTGAGAGTTGCAGGAATTAGCAGTGAACCCGAAATCTGGCTCTAAGAAGGAGTTTCCTCCACATGATGGATGGGTTCCATGTCGATCCGTGGGCTGAGCTAAGTCCCATCCAACCGCAAAAGCCAGCGAAACCCGGCTATTTGGACGCCTATGCCAAGGTCTCATGTCTTGTCCGCTGGTTTACACGGGATCCCCGCCACAAAAGGTGAACTTGTCTAGGAACGCCAAGGTGGCAACATGGGACGGTAGGCGAAGTCTGGCATTGCGAGACAATGTAGTTTAGCTGGGTCCTCCATTTCGAACTCAGCCTTTGCCCCCCCCCCCCCCCATTTACACATAATATTCTTCAGTCTGGCCCATATTCAGTGAAGCATGTCCATGCTCAAACAACAACTGTTGTAAATTTCCTCGTGGGCCCGCCTTTCAATTGGACGAGCTGGTTGTTTTTGCAACCAAGCCTGTTGAACGCCTTGGAGAAAAGACCACTAAAAATCCGAAGGACACACCGGTTTTCCTTTGGCTTTCATTTGCCAGTTCGTTTGTCAAGCACACCTACGTAGCTAAGGCTCTCATGGCAAGGCACCCTTGCAATCGCAATCAAGCAGGGCTCAGCTCATATTTCCAGCTTTCGAAACAAGTAATGTGGACCCCGGATTTGAATAAAGTCGTGTTTTTGGGGGGTGTTCCCTCCAAGAACAAATGTCTGCATCCAAACTAAGACTCACTCCGGGGTTCCCATTACCCAGACACAGGACATGCTTCTACCATCGGAGGCGGCCGACACACGTTTAAGCCCGGCAGGGATCACGCCCGCTTGTAAACATAGGCCCAAGTCCGTTCTAGTTCTCCACAAAACAACCGTCCAAAGGTGAGAACCTTACGAATCAGCTAACTCCACTAAAGTATGAACAAACACATACTGCAGAGTTGATCAGCATAGGCCTTTTGCCCTGTGATTGATCCATAGGGGAACAAAGATCAACACCTAACTTGTCTTAGCTTGCCATTGCGCGTTTTGTTCTTGAAATCGAAACTCCCTAATTTGTCCCACGGTTTCCAGGAAAGCCCTCACAACAGGAAACCAGATATTGCCCGTCAGTGTTTGGCAGATTTTTTGCTAGAGGTTGAACTTGTAGTGGGTTACATGGACACCCAACAACTAAACCTACAAAAAAAACAAAAAACGAACCGGATTCCGGATGGCCGGGAACTACCAAGGTACGAACAGCTAAGACAGTCACTGGGTTCAGCAGCTCACAGAACAGTCTCTTTTCGCCCGGCCAAGTCTGACAGCCAGGCCCAGTCGTCGAAAATCACCCTAAATCTGTGGCCCAAGCCAAACAATCCATGTAGGTAATATCTCTATATATATACATATTCACGTACAATAAATACACATATATATATATGTATCGACGGTTGACCCACTTGGAGGGTAAATGTGTAGATATATATATATATACTTAACATATATATATATACATATCTGCATATCTTGTATACGTATAATATTTCCTACATGGATTGTCTGCACATAGTTGCCGCAATTTCCGTGCCGGGAAAAGGTATAGGTCACCTCTTGCCCGGCGCGAGGTGTACTGCTCGAGGCCGCAGACCAGAAGTTCTCCTAGAGCTCAAGTTGTCGCTCTCGCCTCATTGGGGGGGGTGTCCTGAGATCCGTGTTTCTCAAAAAAGGCGGACTCTCTTTTTGGCTGAAACTTGAAGGGAAGTGCGTTGTTTTTTTTTTTTTTTTTTTTTTTTTTTTTTGTTTTTTTTTTTTTTTTTTCGGGGAGGATAATGAGAAACTGGCAAACCAGCAGAGATGTGGTCCAAGTTTGCCAACTCAGCTGGCATATATTTTGCCAATATGAGTCTTCTCTACAACAGGGTGGCTCTTTTGGCACCATATGTGGAACATGATCAGAGCGGACGCTTGCATTTTGAGGGCCCCCTTCAAGTAAGGGACAGTCGTGTGACATAAATCGAAGCAGCCAGCCCAACCGCTCCAATTCGATTTGTGAGTCTTTCCTTAGGGGACCTCTAAAACAGGTGGGTTTTCCTTTTGGTGTTCCTTCACCACAAAATGAAGGACCCTGGACCAAAATTAGACAGAGGCATCCCATTTGTTTAAGGCCCTCAGCCAGGTGTTGAGACTCCTCAACCCCCCAAGCTGTGTCCAGAGATGTCTGGGTCTTAAGGCCCCAAGAGCGTCTCTGAGACAGTCTCCCCACAAAGAAACAGTTCGTTCGGGTGGTCAAACAAAAAAGTCAAAGGACTGCTGCAGAAGAACATGTCGTGCTCAACCGAGAAGTAAGTTAGACGTGGCTGGTGGGGGCAAAGTGGAACAGAAACGACGTTCCCCGTGACCGTTTCTCGCCAATTTGGGCAGCAAATAAGATGTTCAGATTCAGTTTCATATTCAGTCAACCCCCAAATATATATACATATATATATATATATACACATCACGTTGACAATATTTCCCTTGATTCAAAACCAACAGGTCAAAATCGTAAAGATTCTTAGCGCAGACCTTGAGAGGGCCACCGGTGATTGACATATATTGAAGGGAACCCAGCCAACAAAAGCTCAGCTGCCCAAGAAGGACCCAGAAATAGGGTTAAGCTTTTTCGAACCTTTACTAAAAGTAAACCAACATTGGGAAACCAATATGTCCAAAAGTCGATTCGGGGGCAAATGCCAGGAAATCAAGAATGATTTGCCATGACAAACCAGAAAGCTGACCCCTTCAGACCCAACAGTTAACAAAAAGCCGGGCCTTGGATGGGGAACCCTGGACAAAGGGACATCAAAAGCTTGCAACCAGTACTTCCAGTTCCCACTATGGGAGGTAACCAAGGGCTTGCCACCCTTTAAAACCCAAAAGGAAAATCAGGGATCCTTACATTATACACCTGAACATTTCCAACTTTTTTCTGGTGTTGAAAAAACCTCCAACATGTTTCAAATGGTTGCAACATGCATTTCTTTAGATGGTGGTTTCCCTGTATTCTGGTGTTCAAGAAGCCACTCTGCTTCAGCTGGTTGCACAATGGGTCGATCGAAGGGTTCCGCTTCGGTCCCCCGATCCGCGGCTCGGCTTGGATCCACTTGCTCCCGTTTTGGCGGTCGATGGGAGGCGCCGAAAGGCTCCCAAGGCCGGGGTTTGATAAACCGAAAGGCGCCAAAAGACGTCCAACTAACATCTTACAAGATAAAACTTTAGACACCAAAAGGCTCCAAAGGAGTTCCACTGATCGGCTTCCCGGAGAAAAACCAAAAACAAAAAACAAGCCCGAGGGTTGGCTTTGTGGTCGCTTTGGGTGCTGCCTTCGCCCTTGGGGGAATTTCCTGGCCACGGATTCTCCGGGCTGAGCATGACTGCTAGCCGCGGATGCCAGATTTGGCTTCCGGCTAGTGGGAAAGGAAGAACTGACAACCAGCAAAAGCACGCACGTTCGCCCGAAAAGTCCGTGGAACGGAGTGAACAGTTGAACAGGTGCCTGAGTCTGCACCCAATTCATCGAAACAAACAGGAAAAGAAAGCGAACGCGCCATTCAGGGACGGGCGCCAATTGGGGGTTTATCAGCGTCCCTCTACTTGGTGGTTTGGTTTGGGGGTTTAGTGGGTAGGGGGTGGTTTCCCATTGCACCATTATCAGAACCAGCGGTTCAATTACCACCGAACCACCAGTTGGGCAACCTGAGTCTAGATTGATTGTAGCCTCTGACAGAAACAGGAGGTGCAAACTCTCCAAGAACTTACGCGTGTCTCCAGAACCAAATTCCACAAATTCAACACAGTCAACTCTGTCTATCCTCAATTCGCCTTAGAAAGCTGCAAAAGCCTGGAATGATGATTGCCCTGTAAAAAAACCAGCAAACTATGGTTTCCCATGGTTTCCAAGTGGTGCAGGATTTCTTCCATCCACAGTATGTAGCGAACAATAGAAAAAAAAGTCGATTCAACCAATCTCCCAATAATATTTCTCCGGTTTCTTTTGCTGAGTTCCCAAGATAAAAGCGGTAAACAAGCAGAGAGCCCAAAGAATCATTTTGCCTGGCTCCCAAGGCCCCTCCGAGCATCTCTCCTGTCACACTTGCAACCTTGCCGGCTGAAGGGCGGCCAGAAAGCAGTGCAGGAAATCCTGTCAAGCGATGGCTTCGGCACCGCTGGCAATGCTGGGGATGCAACGCGGCGACGTTTGGGAGCAAATGCTGGTTGTGTTTAGCTACCCCTGGATACCAAGTACCTTGAGCACATCAAACAAAAGCCTGACCAACACTGGTAGCAGCATCTTGACCAGAGCGGGGTGCAAATCTGCGACATCGGTGGTGGCTTACACAAGCAGCTGGTCCGCCGAAACTGTAGAAAGACCAAAAAAAGGGGGGGGGGGTCCATTGGGGGCCCGGGTTGCAGAATTGGTTGACACAGCCAGTTTTCAACTTGTTTCATCACTTGTCGAAAGGTCCGAGAAATAAAGTCTAAACATGGACCGATACGGGAACACCAAAAGGTCTGATCCGGTCGAGAAATGATGAGGTCTAAACTCACCGTTGCCTTTGGCATGTTGAAACAGGTGGCTGAAACAGACCGATGCAGCGAATCCAGGAGGGGTACTGAGGCTTGGCAAAAACTCACTTGCCCAAAACGGTTCACCTTTTGGGACCTCGACACAAAAATCTGGAATGGACCAAACAGGGAACACCAAAAGCCAACAATGTCGGATTTGAACAACTGAGACAAACGCTTGGCAGTAGATTCCGCATTCTCAGTAGATTCCAATTGCCGGTAGATTCCCCGTCTTAGATATGCGTGCAAAGGAGCCCCAAACGCTTGCAGTTGTCCATAGCCCTCTCCCCACAGGGGGTATATATATATATATGTCCCAATGCAAATTGGGTACCCATGGAACCAAGGGGCATGAACTGGGTACTTAGGCGTTCCAGCAGGAGCCTAGACTCTTGCCC